GTTCTTCAAGTTATCTTACTATACGTCTACGTAACGTTCTTCAAGTTATCTTACTATACGTCTACGTAACGTTCCTCAAGTTATCTTACTATACGTCCACGTAACGTTCTTCAAGTTATCTTACTATACGTCTACGTAACGTTCCTCTAGTTATCTTACTATACGTCTACGTAACGTTCTTCAAGTTAGCTTACTATACGTCCACGTAACGTTCTTCAAGTTATCTTACTATACGTCTACGTAACGTTCTTCAAGTTATCTTACTATACGTCTACGTAACGTTCTTCAAGTTATCTTACTATACGTCTACGTAACGTTCTTCAAGTTATCTTACGATATGTCACAGAAACTTCGCGATACTTACCTGATACATGAATATACAAACGAAGATCGTAACTTGGATCTTTTTTTTTACCTGTTAGTTGCCACAGAATCGCGTGATGTCTCTTACCAACACCGTCGCCAGGTGAAGAAAAGTATTAAAAATTTGTTTGCTTCGACTCCAAACTTTCAAAAATACATGAAGAGGTAAGACTTATTCCTTTTTATATTACGTGATAATTAAACGTTTCTAGCGAATTAAAAAAAAGAGAATTGTTGAAAATACGTGATTAGAAATTACCGATATTTATAAAGTCATCGACGTAGAGATCCATAGATTTGACATTATTTTGTAATTATTTTTAATTGTTGACAGAATTACATAAACAATATCATGATATTCTAGTGTTAACCAGAGTCTGAGTTGAGAGAATGTGACTGTCTAGGGAGGTACAGTTTGAGCAGGGGGCAGCCCAGCCCTGTTGGTAGCTTTAAATCCCAGTGTTTTGGTACAAATAACTTTTTCTTCAATATTCAAATTGTGAACAATTCTTAAATATCCGACCAGTTAATGAATGTATACGTCTATCTTCATGTTTATCTGGCTATTCAAGAACATGTTTTAACATCTTTAACAACCATAACATTATTGGTTTATGATTTTAACACATCAGGGGAGTGTACCTGGCCTGCATTTTCTATCATGACAATAAACTCTTGGTAACAACTGAAGAAACGGTACCCATCCTGGAAGTGGACGATTCTCATCCTTCATCTCTTCACACTGACTTTCATTGGTTGATGAAGGTAAGTTAACCGGATTTATCTCTCCACACTGACTACCACAAGGTAAGTTAACCGGAGTTATCTCTCCACACTGACTACCACAAGGTAAGTTAACCGGAGTTATCTCTCCACACGGACTACCACAAGGTAAGTTAACCGGAGTTATCTCTTCACACTGACTTTCATTGGTTGATGAAGGTAAGTTAACCGAAGTTATCTCTCCACACTGACTACCACAAGGTAAGTTAACCGGAGTTATCTCTTCACACTGACTTTCATTGGTTGATGAAGGTAAGTTAACCGGAGTTATCTCTTCACACGGACTTTCATTGGTTGATGAAGGTAAGTTAACCGGAGTTATCTCTCCACACTGACTTTCATTGGTTGATGAAGGTAAGTTAACCGGAGTTATCTCTCCACACTGACTACCACAAGGTAAGTTAACCG